TTTATATTTTTGATAAGAAACCGCAGTTTGCATTGAACTTTTATTTTATGGACCCTTATTAGTTTGCTATGTTTTCCAAATTTTTTCAGGAACTTTAGGGGAACAGGTAATTTGTACCAGCCTGGAATTAGTTAGAATTTATCATTTTATTAGCAAAACCAAATTAAACCATAAGAAATTATTAGTTTTTGTTTGTAGCCTGAATTCAGGAGAGCACATCATATTGGTGCCAAAGCATAACTAGTAGTAATCTAGTCATTTTAGTAATAGCTAATACAATTATGTTTTTACTATTTGTTTATTTCCCCAAGTGTGCCTCTTTAATTATTAGAAACTGGTTTCATTGCTTTTGCTAGTATGTCTTACCAGAATCATCAACAACTCAGTAAATTCTGTTATGAATCGTACGCATCATTAATTGAAATGAGACAAAATTATTATTCTTAGTTAACTACCTGTGTTTACGATGAAAGGAAAAGCATTGTGCCTGACACTGCTGCGTAAAAATGTTTATATGCATCTACCCAGACTCCATTCCTGCAATATAATCCATATATACTGAGGAAGTTTGCCGGAATGTGTCTTGTTAGTTCAACAAGTATGTTGTCTGCCAGTTACTTACTATCAAGGTTATATATCTTTTGTCAATGGCAGTGTAAGAAGCAGACTAATGTTAAAATGTTATTCATCATGACCTCCACTTTAATGGTTAAAATATTGAATGCATGTGTTGGTTTGCAAAATGAGATGTGCTAAAGTTACAATATCATATACATGAATGATGTGTATAATGGTAAACATTAAAAAAGATCTTTGGGTGGAAAAGAGCGAGATATGAAATGTTCTGCTCACAGTAATACCAGAGCCACATATTTAAAAGGAACTGTCATTTCTGAGGATTAAAATAAATAAAACTAAACTAAAGTTAAACAAGCAAACATTATTATAGCTTTATTTTAGTTAGCTGTTGTACTAAGATAGATACAAGTTACAGTTCATCTTGAGGAGCTAGATCATTCTACTACACAGCTTGCCAGCCTCTTGCACCTAATCGACCAGTAATTCAGATATCAATAATAGAATGTGGTCCAACACCAAGTCTCTCGTTGAGCTGAAACACTCTCAATGTGTATTTGAGATTAGAGGGTGCTGCAAACATGTTTGTGCAATGGCTAGTTATTTAAGCATGCCCAAAATGCCTAACTGCCTCTTTTTAAAGTGACTGATTAATGCGTGTAAATATTAATATTCATAAATAACAGCATATTTTGTGTTCTTGAAATACAAGAATAGTGATACACACAGTAGTTACTCTTTATGTTGGTATACATGCAAGATATTGCAGCCCAATATATTAATTGGTTCTAGGTTTTTCATTGGTTCTAAGGCCTTTATTGTCTATAAATTGACTGATTCGGCTTGTTCTACTACCCGTGCCTTAACTGTAATTCATATCATTTGTTATGGTCACACATGGAAATGTACTTCTGGTAGCCTGCGCGAATTTGGCTAGTATTACCATGGTCTCTGACAAATCCCAAGGCCTATAGGTGCACCAGGTTTGTTGCTCAACCATCATTACAATTATTTGATTTATTTATTTTTTTTTTTATGGTAACTCCTGGAAGTAGCCTGCATAGTTAATAGATATTATGCTGAAAGCCTTCAAGCTCCAAATCATCTATAATATGGCTCAAGCTGATCAGTTGACCTCTGGGACAGAACTATCTTGTAATAATAAGATGGCATTGTATTTTGTATTACCTGCAGTTAAGTACCATATATGATGTGTGTTTTGATTATCATACTATTTTATATTTAATTCACAAAAGAAAAAACTTTCTTTAATCTCTCAGGCACGGTGCTATTATTGATTCCTGTTTGGATCAAATATTTCCCACCTCTTTCTTCCATGTATGTAGATTTTGCTAGTAGTACCATTAGAGCGCAAAGTACAAACCGTACGTTTTTATCTAAATCTGCATTGTTATTGCATTCTAAACCAAAATATGGACTATGTTTAGCAAAAGGCTAATCGTTTTTTTTTTTTGTTTGTTTTTTTTTATAGAACATCTCAGAATTAGTTTAACAAAAATGTGATTTTTTTAAAAAAAATTTTATACTGCATCTTTGTTTAAACTAAGCAAGCTTGGTAATGTCACATGCAAAATCTTTTTATTATATTACAATGATCCTTTTATTATAGAGAGTGTCAGAACATTTCTTTAACGCAGATTTGTGTAATCAGGCCTTGCAGAGTATTCAGTCCGGAATAGGTGCATTACGTTGGTGAACATGCAGGTTTTTATTCTTGGAGTTTTATTTGTGTTTTTGTTTTTTTTCTGTGTACACAGATTTATTGTAATTGTTTATTTAGATATTAATTTAAAAATCTTGTAAGGTTGATAGAATGTGGGCCACTGGTGGGGTAAATTTATAGCCTGATTTATTTTTTTGATTTTCTTTTTTTTTTACCAGCAAATCGTTTTAGCAAGCATTGACCCCATCAACAAAGGAGTAATTGTGGCTTTTATATGCATATTTATTACACTTTGTTAGTATTGTTCAAATCTGAAGTTTACATTCTGTTTTGCCCCATTTCTTTGCTAATACATGTTATGGAAAATATAATGTTTTAATAAACAAAGTAGACAATAAAATCTGTTGTCATTTATTAGTGGTGATACTTCTCATGATTTAATTTTGTGATAGAAATTCTAATAATATAACGAAACCGTAAAACATGGGCTAAACTTTACTCTTAAAGGCCAAGCTTAAGTAAAGTTAAATAAATTTTTCAAATACAATATTTTAGTCTAATTTTAGCAATATAGTTTTCAGCTCACTACAGTTAAACTGTGTATTCCTTGTGCTCTCCCCCACCTCCTCCCCCAATCCCTTTACTCACCAATAATGAAAATGTAATAAACAATTATTATGTTGAGCTTTTATCCAGATAGTTTGTTTGTTTATATAGATTAGCAATCCTAGTACTCCACATTTAACTGGCAAAATAACAATGGTGTTTTAGTTCTATAACATCTAGGGATGTATTTTGGGCACCCCTGTAAAATCATTAAAGCAGCTCTATGACCTGTCCCCCACAATGAGTATTAATTTCACAAAGATATCTTTATGAAATACTCAGATTTCACTGAACTTCCAACCCAGCCAAAAAATACATTGAGACAAAGTAAGGACTTTTCGTAGGGTTGACAAAAGGAGAAAATAAGCTTATTACCTCCAGCACTCACCAATGATGGTTGTAGTGGAAAGAAAGCTCTGACTATGTATATGACTTCAGTGATGTACATGCATGCCTGATAAGGGTATGTGAATTCCTAACCATTGTAAGAAACTATGGAGTCGCACCTGGAGGACTGTGGTTGGAGTGATTGTTACATGAAGTAAAGGATAATTGGAATTGGGCTTAGTTAAATGATGTGAATTTAGAAGGACCTGTACAGGCAGCACTTTATTAATTTCTAAGAAAGACTTTTTTTCAAGACATGTCTTCAGGAGTTTGTAAAAAAAAAAAAAGAAAAGAAAGAGGTGGACAAAGCGCCAATGAGCAAATGGAAAGATACTGCAAATGATTGAGAGGTAGTGAGATAATTTAAGAAATAAAGTTGTGGAAGTGGAGGTGATGAGAAGAAGAAGAGCACTTTGTTTTAGCAGGGATTATTTGCAGGACAACCAGGAGGCAATGTCCGTGAGACAAGAGGTAGAGCAGGTATGGGATTCAATGAGGCAACCCACTAGAAGCCTGGTAAGTGGCCAATGGAAATGGGGCTGCAAATAGCCGGTCAATAAGGGTTGTAGTTACAAACTAGAGATAAGAAGTTTGGGGTGCACATGTGAGCTATGTAAGTGAGGAATAAGATTTTAATTTGAAACGGTGCAGAAAACCAATGGATTAACAGAAGGGTAAGGGTGCTTAAGAAGTGAGAGATAAATTCAATGGGATGAAAGGATTAAGAATGCAGAATTAACTAATCAAGGGGACATTTTCAACATAATCTTAAATAGCAGGGACTATGCATGCATGCAAGCAGGGGTTAAGTGTCTGTTAGTGAAAGGGTTAAATAATGTTATTGCAAAATCATCTTCGTAATTATGCTTCAGAAACCCATTAAAAACAGCTCTAGTAAGGAGTCAGAAATCATGTGTAGGCAGACCATTTTCAGTAATCTGCTGAGAGCTGTAAAAAGATTTGGGCAGATGGGGCTTCCTTTGTGCTCCTCTATAAATTATTTGAAATGATTTGCTGACCTCATTGTCTATTGAGAGACAAAGTCCCCAGGAGGCAGAAGAACTATGTAATGACTCAATACTACTCTATTCTAGCTGGTAGAATATGGCAAAAGTATCCTTTTTTTTATTGCAACTTTAGAATGGAAATCCTGTTGTGACAACACACTGTGATACTTGTTTCAAGGCAGGTTGATTTAGAGAGACTTTTCTTATATATATATATATATATATATATATATATATATATATATATATATTTTTTTTATCATTTTTTAAATCAAATTTTCTAAACTCCAATTCCAAACACCAGAACAAATCCCATCACAGAGAGAATTTTGTTAAAATTATATTTCTCTGTAAATAACCCATGTTTTTATTTGAACTAAAAATTGTTCTACCAGCTTTGTCTGTAAAGAAAAAAGGGCACACATGGCTTTAGCAACCCGGAGTTCTGTTCTAAACTGCCAAATATCAATTCTCTTTTTTTTTTTCTCAAATCTTTTTTATTTGTATAGAAGGAAAGTCAAAGAAGGCATGTACCATATTACCAAAAGTATTCATTGGGACACGCAGGTCCCCATTACGTTAACAATAGACTTATCGTTGTAGAACACAAGGCATGTGTGACAACATCTGCATGGTATTCAGCATGTTCATTTCAGGTATTAATTCACAATACAGTAAGATCCTGATATTCATGGACACATTTGAGTAAGGTACTGTGTTGATGAAACAGTAATCTCTGCCTGTCCTGGGTGCACCCTCCAACACCTGGTTCCCGTGAGTGCGGTGTTCCAGCTTACAGCTCTGTTTGGTGGGGTTGTGCTGGGTTCACATAGTGTGCCAGTGGGGGCAGGTTGTTGAAGCTATGTTAGGGCCAGGGCTTAGGAACAGGATGTTGCGCCCCGTTGTGCGCCACCATTGTCTATGCCGTTGGTCAAGTTCGGGTTATGATATGATATGGGGCACACAACTCAGGCCCACCACCCCCTGCATTCCTACTTTGAGTGTCCTGATAGTGTATTCCGTTGTGTGGGCCCCCTTTGCGGGTTCTAGTACGTGACCAGCTCAAGTGGGGGTGCCCCCTGTGTGCTTGGTGTTACATTTATGTGCACAGAGGGTGGCTGCTGTCATTTGTGTGGGAATGCGTGTTTTAGGTTCCAGAAGTTTGCCAAATATCAATTCTGTGCACAAAATACGTTCGTCGTCAGCGCTTCCTGCACGTTGGCAGAGCTTATAAGGGGAAATGTTTCTTTCCTCTCTCCTTTATTGTGGTCAGTCCTTTCTGGCTCCCTATATTATTAATATTGATTGTTGTTGTTTTTTTTGTTGCCAAATGGACCAATCAAAGGTTTTTCAATGAAAAGTACAATAAAAACAAAAGATAGGATAAGCGCTTTATGAACATATGTGAGAGATCAAAGAAATAGCTGCAAACACTAAATGTAAGGGAGACCCTCAACCCATTACTTAAGAGAAACTTGTAGAAACTTCTCTATGAGAAGCTTTTAAGTCAGATGAAGACGTGGAGGCTGGATTCCAGGTAAATAAAACCCATTCCTTTTGGAGGTTTTACTGAAAAATGTAGGGGGGATCCTAATAAATAGTCCCCAGTAGGGCATTTTAGGTAGAAAAATGGAGTTTAACAAAAAAAGTGGTGTAACCATTTAAAGATTCTGTAAAGTAGAAATAAGACATTACAATGTTAGGGATATTGTAATGTCTTAATGCTTAGATTTAGAAGGTACATGCCTTCATGAAGATGTGCGGTAAGTCTGTTTGCGGTTATTCCTGTGATTCTGGGGCATATTAAAGGAATACTGCAAGCACCATAATTACTAAACTGCAGTGTGGTGGGTAGCTGCACTGGATGGACCCCAGTTAAAAAAAAGTCAAACTGTTCTAAAATTGTTTTAATATTTACAAGGGGGGAGAGCTAGAAAATTCCTGGCACCATAACCACCAGCATGCAGATACGTACACGCACACACCCCCAACTGAGCTCTATTTTACCTCCTCTTTATGCTGGTGAAGGGTGAATTGACTTCCCTCGGGTCCAGTGGGACAGTGAGCTGCTCTGGTGCTGCAGGCTGTGCAAGGCATCCCCTTCTCTCCCGCGTAGCTAACATTTCGAGCTGGAAAAAAAATGACCAGAGACGACTTCCTCCCTGTGCTGCCACGCAGGAGAGGAATATGGGCTGTCAATAAAGTCTTTGAAAAGAACTACTCTGCCTCAAAGCCAGAATGTTTAGAGCTTGCAGGCCCCAGAACACAGCCAAGCCCCCTAACGGAGCTCCAGGTGTCATCCCCTAACCTCACGTCTCTGTCCTAGCCCGCTTATGTAAATGCATTATCCTTCCAAAAGCGTGCAGTTGAGAGCCATTGTAACTTGGACGCTTCTCTTTCCCATCCTCATAAACGTGTTTATGGGATTGGTGCAGACCCCGTAGGCGTGCCTCTTAAAGGAACTCTATAAAAATATACAAGCATGTATTCCTGATACGACAGTGTCCCTCTGCCTCCACTCATGAAAATATCTCAGGGCACTGGATTGCATGCAGGGCGAGCGCAACACCTGGGAGAACGCCTTGGAGGCAGTCTTAACCGTGCAATATAAACACCAGTGCTGTATCCTGGTTTTGTGCTGCCCTAGGCATGACAAAACTCAGGCACCCCCTCCCAACCCCCCGCCCCCCTTCTAAATACACATACACACTCACTGACAGACACATATACACTCAGTGTCAGACACACACTTTCACTGACAGACACACATACACTAGCTAACAGACATACACACTCACTAACAGACACATACAGTAACTAGCAGACACACACAGTCACTAACAGATATGCATACATACACACTCACTAACAGATACACACACTAACAGACACACAAACTAACAGAAACACACATAGTAACACACTCCCTAACAGACACACACATAGTAACACACTCCCTGACAGACACACACTCACTAACAGAGACACACACTAACAGACACACACTCACATTTTTTTTCATATTCAATCCACCCCCCCAGCCTACCTTTGGGAGTGCTGGGGTGGATTATCACTTTCCCTGTGGTCCAGTGTGGCTGCTGGGCGGCCGGCCAGTGGCTGCAGTCGGCGAGGGAGCACAAATCCTCCTGTCCAGCTCCCTCACGCCCCGTGTAGTGATGCCGGAATTACATCATATTCCGGCTCTGGCATCACTGCGGTGCGCGCGAGGGAGCTGAACAGAAGGATTAGTGTTCCCTCACCGACCGCCCGGAAAGCTCCGCCACTGTCAGCCTGGTGGGGCCCTGAGGTGTCCAGCCGGACCAGCTCCTGGGCCCCCAAAGACAAGAGGCTGGCAAAGCATTTGCCAGGGCGATTGGGGGGGGGGGGCTTTTTTTTCCCACCCCCTGTACGTGCCTTGTTTGCCTCGGGGTAAATACACACCTGATAAACACTGCAGTTTCTCTTAGACTACACTGTTTTACATTGCAAGGTTAAGGGGACTGCCACAATGCACTCAGACCACAATCAGAAGAAGTTGTCTCGGTGCCTATAATGTCCATTTAATGTCTAGGTAGCCGTGGAGACAGAAGGGGGCATGTGGGGAATACTAAAAGAATGGGTGAGCAAGAAGCATTTACTAAGTGCTCTTATGCTAACCACACTAGACCCTGAACTGTCTATATTCCCTAATGATAGTCTCACTCCTATTTTTTAAGAAAAGGGTCATATTTTTAAGTTAAAATATTTTACTACACTAGTCTGACTTGCATTTCAATAGATCAGGTCTTCACCATTTGCAGCTGCCCTTTTGGGACTTCCGCGCGCTCTCTCCCTCTCCCCATTTTCTTTCTCTCTCTCTCTCTCTCTCTCTCCCCCTCTCTCTCTCCCTCTCTCCCTCTCCCATGCACAAGCTGTCCTCTTGCTCCTCCAAGAGGACGAACTAGTCATCTGAATTGCGACACTAAACTGGAAGCAGCCCTCATTTTCCCCTACTAAAAATGGCGGACAAATAATTCCTTTCCTCATACGTCACCCAGTTGCCATGACTCCCGCTGGGTGAGAGTTCTACGTTGCCATGGCACCAGCAATTCGAGCCTGGAGGATATCGTGGTGGATTGGAAATTTTCATTCAGCTTGCAAAGTACAGGTTAATTATTATTAATTACTGTTTTATGCAATCAGTTAAAGTGCAAATTACATGAACCAGGAAGAGGGTGGGATATATCATGCATAAAGTTATTTTAATTGATTTTCTTGTTGAAGCATAGGTACTTTAGTAACACACACCTTTCCTAAACCCATACTGTGCAAGTTATTATGGAAACGAAGTGAAGGACTTGTATATTTTAGGTAGTACTATTATATGAGTTCCATGTCATATTTAAAAGCAAGTAATGTAGACATGTAAACATCTTGTAAATAAATACATTTGCTTTTATGTAAGTAAAACATCACACATTTCATAAATACAAGAAATGGGGAGAATGTGAATGATTAGTAGAAGAATCAATTCATTCCATTAAGATCTTCTGAAGGTCTCCTTGATGGACATATACTAGGTGTCATGGGTCTTAAAAAAAGTCTTATTACCTCTGACAACCTCCCAAAATATGACAATTCCCAACATGTTTCTTCATGTATTACTTTTTCAGATTAAAATTTATATTCTTAATTTCACTAATTTACACACATATGTCTGTGCTGTTTTAACATATGCGTTTTATTTTTAACTGTAGAAAGAGGCTAGGCTACTCTGCACAGCACTTGTTTATTAATATTTCATAATAGTAACTTGTGTACATTGAATTCTCCATATTCTGCAGTTAACCAGCAATGCTATATAAAGCTGATTAGATAGCTCAGTTCTTAGTGTTCCAGCTCCAGTATCAATGCTTCCATTTGGAACTCTCAGGACTGTATATTGATTTCCCATCCGGGTTATTTCAGCCCTTTAATCAAAGTCATTAAATTGAGAGCTACTTAGTTTTAGGTAATAATAATATATACACCCAAGGACGTATTAAGACAAAGTGAAATCTAAATATACTCTTCCAGGTGACATACTTTATTATACTTTTTTATTATCACTAGTAGTAGAATACTTTGTCCTTCTTGCTTTTACAGACTGTTCCTGTTTGAGAGAAGATGCAGTCTTCCCCCATTTATATCCCCACAGACTCCTCGTATGCTGAGCTTGGGTCCCAATGTCTGTAAGTGTACTTTGCTAATTTCCCTCTGAGTGCATGGGTGTGCTTTTTTCTACAGGTCTATATAGGTGTAAATGCAAAATTGTACGATCACCAAATATCATTGTGGAAGCAAAGTCCAATCTAATGCTTTTCACTCACTACTGTAATAAAGCATAGAGGCGTACTTATATCTATATCTAATATAAACCGTAACTAAGCTGTGTTTTAAATGCATTTGCTTTCAAATTGCAAAACTTGCTTACAGTAATCAAAGTAGATGGGAAAAAATCCAGAGTTTAATAAAAGATTTAGGAAATTTAGACCAATCTGCATTCACTGCAAACTGAAATAAATATGTTGTTATTGGGCAAAGCAGCAGTTGTGGTTTCTTAGGAGCTTATTCACTATACTCCAGTCGTGGTGAATTGAAATCCGAAGAGCGACATTTAGGTAAAATAACCAAAAGCTTTTACCTAGGTAGGAGAATTTTCCAGATCAGCGATTTTAGATTTCAGTTTAATGCAGTTTGGAGATTAGTGGAAAAAAACAAACCTTTAGACACTCACTGCATCAGGTCATTGGCAACCATGATCCATATACAATCAGGAGGAAAGCACACATATGTCAGATGGAGGACAGCAAATGATAATAGTTCTGGCGTCCCCCCGACCCTGATTTACCCATTTGTGGGAGCAGTGGGATAATGTGCATGTTACGACTTTAAGGATACACTTTATGTAACATAGTCACTTCATATCATTGTAGTGATTATGGTGCCTGGAGTCACCTAACACCATCTCAATAGTCGGTGTTAACCATTTTGAATCCTAAAATACTGAATGAGTATCTCCGGGCTTCCATTGATTGGCCCCTCTCTTCTGCAATGGCTTATGCATTAGTCTGAGCAACTATGGGTGGCAGTGATAACCTGGCAGCATCATCTGTGTGTTTTAAGAGTATCACTGCCACCCATTGCTGATGGTGGGAATCGGATCACAATCTGCCGAGGACTCTCATTCAGTATCAAACAGTATGAAAGCTGTTTAACGTTAAACCATAGATTAAGTAGTTATGGTGCCTTAATTAAACACCTTAATTATGTCATGTAACAGGAGAGTTGTAGATAGTCTAACATTCCAGCACTAGACAGCAGATGGCGCTATCAGGCTACCATTTCTAAGGAAATTAATGAGAATTGTGAAAATATTTTAATACATATTTTGTAAACGTTGTTTTCTTAATTTTTTTTTTGGCCCTTACCAAAATGTAATTTGTATATAATTCTATCAATTTAATCAGCAAACCAACTGTATTTTTATCTAAAATGTACTCAGTGCACATCTTTATAAACAAGCAATATGTCTTTTAAAAGCTGAATAATCACCTTTTTTCATCTGAACTCTGCGTATTAATTACAGACAGTCTATATAGCCTGTAATGCATGGATCTGCATTGACCCCTTTATTTGCAGCATATAATTGCTTTGACTTTAACTAGGAGAAAATAGTTACAGATTATACCTGTGATTTTCTATGTCATATTTGTAAATGTGAGTATTTTTCTATTCTGTATATAAATGCACTGGTAAAACACTGTGGCTGAGCTAGGTAGTGTGCTGCAGTTGCATTGGTGGGAACCTATAATATTCACTGACAATCCCAGAATGTAGTGCACAGGTAGGTACTACCTCTGTCCTGGGTAACCTGAGGGCCTTTCAGTCTGGTCAGCCACCGCTTATCTTCATGGCACGGCAGTATACGTACACTCAGTGAGGGCATAGATTTGTCCTTGATATAACTCTCGGGTCCATAAAGGACCAATACTAGCCATTCCACTGACCTATCCTTATTGGTGGATGGTCTAGTCCAAGATCAAGACCGCTGTGGCTGAACCTTCTGACTTGTGGCCTTAAACCTAATATTCTTGTGTGTCTTTTGAGATCTGTATTATTATATAAGTGGTGCAGGTTGGAGATCGTGTTCTTCTCATTTACCTGGAACACATTGACTGCTAAGTGTGACAATGCAAATATATGTGAAAGATATTTGAAATAATGCCAGCCCAGCTAATGGATAGAACATTAATGGCTGCATCATGAGAAGGAAAGTACACAAACATTTGCAATGCCAAGATCAGCAATCAATAGTGTGGCATAATAAGCTCTACGGCCAATGCAGTGAACTTGTTACTATCCTTTATAAATGTTCTTAGTTATCCAATACCCTTATAAGTATTCTTATTATTACCTATTGGACTGGTTTTTATTTTTGTATACTCTGTAAATTACTATGTAAATTAAGTGTAAACTTTTTCTGATGGGTCCACATGAAAGAAATGAGTACATTTCTTCATTTTTGAGGTTTTATTTATTTGTATTTATTTATTTTTTGTCTGTAATTAATATTTAAAAGAAGTCCAAAGACAGACACCTCTGCGCAGGAACCCGATGAGTTCGAGAACAGCGTTTTAGACTACACTGACAGATCTTACACATCAACAAGGAAAAAAACTCATTACGGAGAATCTGCTTCATCCCCTGCCGAAAAATTATCCAAAGCACAGCTACTATCAGAGCAATATATCAAAGACAACGAGGTGAGATATTGTTGCTGTGTAGCCTGCTTCCCGTTCCTTTAATGTTACTCAGTAATAAAACCGTGACGCATTATCTCTAATGTTAATAAGCTGTTGCAGCTTTCACAGTTCAAAAATAAAACCATTGCTACCTGCAGTGTTGTTAAACCTTATTACTCTAATAATGAAAACTCCGTACTCAGATGGGAGAGTGAAACTAATGGAATTAATGAATTAATTAATATGAGTTGGGGTTTGTATTACAGGAATAAATAAAAAGTTACCAGCATATCAGAGAAGCAGCATTTTTCAATGTTGTAGAGCTACACTTTTATTTTTTTAAATTCTATTAGAACCACTATTTAATCTGTCGTTTAAATTCTTTTTATTTCATGCAGTTCCTCAGAGCCAATAAGGAGTTAATCCGATGTGTGGCATTAAGTAGAATTGTGCATGGCGATGGACATTGGAAACTGGCCCAAGCCTTTGCAAACCTTGGTCATAGTTACCTTATTTTTAGAGGTAGGTAAAATGTACATACATTGCTAATATGAGTAGGGAATATTAATGCTGGCAGTTATTAAAGATCACCTGCACTGTTTTAGTTTTTTCTTTTTAGTTCTGATAGGTAACTTCATAAACGTTGTTCAAACTTTGTTTTAATACAGCTTAATAGAAAGTAATTTGTAAAATATATGTAATTTCTAAAATATGATGTTTTAACCTGATATTGTTTGCGAGGGTGCTGTATAATGTAGATAATATATTGTGTGTTCTGAATTAATTATGCATTACACAGTTTGCCCTGGAGATATGCAAAGTATGGCCAAGGTCCTACAGGGTAGGAGACTGAGAGAGTCTGTGACAAAGGAGCTATTTTGTTATTGGAATCACTAAAATAGTGAGATGGAATAGATTGTCAACCTGCTTGTAAAACGTGATAAAATCACTAAAATGGAATGAAACTATGCTGGTTGCATCTAAATTTGTCAAATCACCTCCATTTTATAATTCATAGATTTATAACTGCAAAATAATAAACAAACAATAACTGCACATTTGATAGTTGTGCATAGACCTCCAAGTTTTAACCTGAGAACGGATTCATACTAGCAAAAGCAAGTGGCACAATGCAGGTAGAATTAAGCGTGCTGAGAAGAACCTTGCGTGCTGTGTTCGATGATGATGAACATTAATGCATATTTGTGATACATTGTCTAAAATATCTCTTGGAAATATGATAAATGTGACCTAACTGTGGCCAGATTCTTCTTACCAGTGGCATCTGTATGTATGCTAAACCATACAATTCATTATAATCAATCAGTGTTTCTTTCAATATTTATATTACAATTTTTTTCCAATTTGATGTATTTGGAGCAATGTCTGCTGATAAAGTGCACTGCCAATATATAAACAGAGCAATCATTTATGAATATATCTAGCCGAAAAGAGAATAAATCCAAATTAAACATGGATATACATATATACTGTATGTACGTTGGGAAGAGTTGCATGTGTATAATGTGCTTGTTGATGTGTATTTTTATTATGCAGTATGGTATAACATAAACAAGCTCAATATGTTCTATAAGACTTGCTGTATCTAAGCTGTGTAAAAGGCTACTCCGACCAAAAAATAGAGTTTTTAGAAACTCTTTCTAACTAGTTCTTCATCCTCCCCCCGCCACCCCCCCAAAAGAAAATAGCTAAACCTAACCTCCATTAAAATGCTGAGGTCAAGTTCTCCTGCAGCCTGATCCTCCTCTGCTGATGTCACTCCCCCCTTGCTAGGGGAAAATATGACAGGAAAGCTGGGTAGAGGGGACATGGGTGGATCGCAGGGTCAGGTGTGCTGCCATTGTCTGTCAGACCCCAAACATGCACAGAACAGACATTACCCAGTCCAGAACTATTCTTTTGGATAATGACAATCCAAAGACCCTTCCAAAGGTGGAGTTACACCTCCAGTAGCCGAAGGGATAAAATCTGTACAGGCAAGCATTTTATAGCGAAACTGCACATACCAACTTATTGACCACTCCAAATCAGAAGTTCTTGGAGTAACTCTAAGCTTATCTGTTGGTAAATGGAGAGGAAGTAAGTTTCTCTAAGCTCTAAAAAGATTTTGGAAATGACAGAAGCCCTTGGTTAGGGTATTCTTTAAATCCAAATGTTTAAATCAATGTTCCCCACAACTCATAATAAGCATACTGTTTTTGGTGTTTAGGAAGCATCACAATTATTGGTTATTAGTTTGAGTTGCTAACCCAGTGTTGCATTTGGGGCTTCATGGGCCTGAAGTTCACAAATGGATGGCCCTACTTGCATTTACATTCTATTTGTTGCTGTTATGGCTGCTTTGGAACTATTTCAAAGCATTGGCCTGGAGCTGCCACTTCAATAGCTGTTCGGCCTGACCTATTTTATATTTGGTTTTGAGTCTCTCTTGTAACACCCTGGGGAGCAAATATTTTGCCATGTTTTTAGTTTTGGTGCAATCATGTCTTATTTGAGTTTATTTGTCATATTTTTTTCTTTACATGTAGAGCTGCCGGCTCAGGCAAGACAACATGCCGAATCTGCTAAAAATATTCTCCTTCGTGGAGTTGATATGTCAAACTCTGTGGAAGACAAGAGAGAAATATTAGAAACTCTGGTGACTATCTACTATACTTTGGGGATAGCACATCTTCAGCAGAATAAATATCCTTTAAACCACTGACAAAACCTATGAAGAACCAAACTGGGTGCTTACTATCTCACACCTGTCCCTCTCCTTCTTGTTTTGGAATAACGCAAATATTTTATATTATTTCAGCTATAAAACAGAAGATTCCAAGTAGGCTGAGGTTAATAGCTAGTTTAGCAGCATAACAACACATAAGGTATTTCTAAAAGTGCTGTGGAGTTGGAAGTAATTATGGGTTACAGAGTCGAATTTGGAGTCGGAGATATTTTAATACTAACTCCGATGTCCTGCCAGTGCTGTGGATTCAGCGTTGTGGAGTTGGAGGCAATTTTGGGTCACTGGAGTCAGAGGTACCATAAGTTGCTGATATGAATTATCAATACGTCAAGTGTTGGCTGGACTGTGGGTGGCCAGGGACCCTCAATTAATGTTAAACTGTTCAAAAGTTATTTGACACTAAATGGAGCAACAGCACCGAGCACTATAACCAATTCAATTACATGACATGGTTATAGTGGCTAGAGTGTCCCTTTAACCAAATTTTGCAAGGAGTTAAAGAGTAAAGATTTGTTCTATAATATTATATAATTCTCAAGAATTCTTAATACCCAATTGGGCTGCAGGACTACCCTAGCAAGCACAGGCAGTCAATATTAGTAAAACAAAAACTGTCTGACCACCAGAAGGAGAAATGCTATTAAACATTATTTTCTTATGTAGTAAGTGTTCATTCAGACTTTAAAATAGATGCTCGAAGTAAATGTAGAATTAAGCATGATCAGAGCAGAAAGTTTATATCCTTAATTGTCCAACTGGAAAAGAGTCCTACCTCAGCCTCCAGAAGGTTGAGAAGATTGTGGAAGAACTGGATGAATTGCAAGAGACAAAATCAGTCATGTTAAAAATATCCGAAAAAGATATTGCTGTTGCACTCGGAATGTAAGTGCAAATGTTATCTAGTTTGTTTTGTTCCTCCATTACCTGCTAGGTGAATAATTAAAGGGACACACCACTTCCCAAACAAAAATAAATAAAAACCATTGGTAAGTAGAAATAGCCCAAATAAAAACTTTTAATTATGCATTTGCAATCCTGCCAGTCAAGCGTTGTCACTGCAATCACGGTGTCACTGGAATCACATGACTCTGGTCAGTTGGATTGGCTACTGGGGAACTGCGTAGCTTGTTACGCACATTCCCATAACATCACAAAGGGGTTTGAATGCATGTAACGTTTCGTTTGAAGTATATCTACTAAATAGTGATTTATTATTTATTTTTTGTATTTGGGCAGTGGAGTACCCCTTTAATTACATGCTTGTTTTTCTTTCTAAAATATATTTTCTCATTATACATCTGGTTCCAAAATATTATTCTTTTCCCATATTTAAAGGGCATGTTTACAGCAAAATAAACCAAGTTCAGCAAGAAATTATTTTGAGCAAGCTGTGAATCTTGTTATTGCTTCCGAAGGGGACAGTGCTCCAGAACTGATTGATCTGTACAGGAATTTGGCCAAAACTGAACAACTGAGGAAAAAACATGACAAAGCCATAGAGTATTTATTGCAGGTAAGGTTTCAGGGTAAATGGCTGCCTTCAAGCTTATCAATTCACTATTTCATTGTTACTGTGTGTCAGGCCTAAAGATGAGAAAAGTAAGGGTCTGGTAGAAAACAAGAGTATGTTATGGCTTGGCGAAAAACGAGACCACATATATGCAACCAGTGAATTATAGCTAGTCTGTGACATGTCTCTACTTTTATTTTCTTCCTTTTTTTCTATCATAAAATGCTTCTATATCTTTTATATTTATTTTGTCATATAAATGTTTAAAATTTACTTTTGTGTAAATGAAGGAACATACATTCATGCATATAATTCATGCAAAAACATGTGTTGCATTATTCTCCCTCTCTTACCGTCTGTTCTGATAGGCATATGACTTGCTTCAGTGTGTGAAAGGGTTAAAAATCACTACTTGTCTGCAGTAAACCAAAAATGATGGGAAATATTCCCTCCTAACACCACTCATCTATAAAAGCTGCCACAACCAAGGCAACACAGTTTAGCAGAACTGCCCATTAGCTCACAGTATTATTCTATAAGTCTTGTAATGTGATTCCTTTACCAGAGGCAGAACTTAATAAAGTCATATTTATTATGATTAAAAAAAATTGTCTCATGAAATTTTTGTACAAATACAAAGTATGCTACAAACAAATTTACATACACTAAGAAACAGATAAAATAAAAATGGAGAAAATTAACAGAAACCCAACACTCGGTGGACTAGCAAATTATTGGTATTGGAGCTTTTAGAAAGGAAACAGAGATCCAATTCAAAGTCGTTCTGGCTCTCACAATGAATTACAAAGTTCTTTAAGTTTTTAGAAGATGTTATATAATTTTTTTTGCCTATCCCAGGTTTTAAACCAGCCCTTTTTATGAGATGGGGGTGGAGTTGCAGAAATTCCAGCTTTATGCAGAGCAATTCTTGTATTACAAAACAAGCCTGAAATATACAATGCTAAACACTTATATACAGATGCTTCTGATCTCTTTGCGACCAGACCAGATCATCTTGGTGAATCCAGACAATTAATAAGGCCAAGAATAACATACATTTCATACATAATGTCCCAAAACGAAAAGAGCATATAAAATCACTTCCAAACCCTTCATGGAACTTCCAATAAACATTGTAAATTTGTGTTATTTGTCATATTCTCACTGACGGCTTATGTGGTAGGGCTCCAGTAGCCCTAAAGATCACTGAACCTCAGAACCAGAAACTAGTCTTAAATATCACTAGACGACTTGGTTTATAAACATGAAAAGAAAACCTTAACTTGGCTCACCCCAAGTTAAAAGGGTAAACCAGACGTGGACCCTGTGCCCACTGTGCCTATAGGGATATCAGCTACACCTCACAGACGAGGCCCAACAGAAGGTTGAAACAATTGTCTGGGGTTGCTGTATCTCTTGTGCATGTGGGACCAGTCTGATATGCTTCAGAAATGTTCTCTGTGTAATGGCACAAGTGAGCAAAAACTATTTTGAGACCTGAGCGGGGATATACCGAACAGCAAGATACTGAGTTTCTCTAAGCTTTTCTCCGTTCTCAGAGTTCTCATTCTTTCTTGTTTTGGTAAAAAAACTTGGCTTAATTGGTGTGCAATGTATTTTCCCAAACACCAACAAGATTAAACTCATTTCTTTCCAGACACAGTGTATCTCATATGTCTTAGTTAAAGGCAGCCAAATTAACCCTTAACGTGCTGTGATCAATCATACCAGCTCTACTGGGTAACCATGCCATCCCTCCACTACAGGCATTACACTGATCAGCCATATCATTGAAACAATGAATACATACCGCATTAATTGACAAAATAATTGCAAAGGACAATAAATCATGCCCACTGGGCATATCACCATATGCATTTTAAGACCCATTGTATAGTTTACAAAATATAAAGGTGCTCAAAGCTTTTTCCTAAACTTTTTAATAAAGAAAATGATGCTCTCAATGTAATCTTGGTGTGAAGGCATTTCTCTTGTTGACCGATATGGTGTCATCATGATATGTGCACAAGGTGGTAGCTTTATTTTTATAAAATCTAGCTATATTAATATATGCACAGGTATATTAATGATTGCTCAGGCACTGTAACATGTAATATAATATGGGATATGATTCATAGAAGAACAATGACATAAGAATTTAACTGTATGTATGCATTTCCTCCCTATAGGCAGTTTCAATTTCCCATGCAACATACAACAAACCCAGTATTGAATCTGCTGAAACTGAGCTGTTATTGGCCAAGGCATACGCTGCTTCTGGAAATTCAAACTATGAGGGTATGTTTAAAGCTCTTTTTTCTTATTTAAAACAAAGCTCTCAAGTTTATGCACAGTGCAACATTTGAAAACATTTAGAAGTTCAAGAAAGGCTGTTCTCGGCACCTTCCTGATCTTTGCAGCCATTGGGTATTTGTAGCAAATTATAGATGTTTATAATTGAGAAAGGACCGGAGGAGATGCGAAATGTTGACATGCCTGTATATTGAATAGAATAAAGAGTACACTTTTTATATTGAAAACTGAAGACCTATGAGTGCCCTTGTCTCTTTTTGTTTTGTGAGGTTTATTTTGATTTATTCATTTATATGTTTATTGTCTGTTTTTATTATAATGTGTTACTGCTAAAAACCTGGCACCACAATATGGAAATGTAAAGAGGTGGTGTAACAACATGATGGAATGTCATTTGAACTAGTTTTCTTTTTGTATTAGAAGCAGCTGAGAAGTGTTTTAAAGAAAGTCTTGGCGTTTATCAAACAGTTCTGGGTCCAGATGATCAGCTGACGCTAAATGCTTGCATTGAATACAGTAAATGGTTAATTCAGATTGGGAATAAAAAGGCAAGTCATTTGAAATGTGGCTATTTGCTGTGTGTATAGCGTTATATCACAAAGTCCAAACATCAAATTTCAGCAGACCAGAATGTAATTTGCAAGCAATTTGACTAACTGGTTTCTAAAAAAATGTATTTTTATAAAAAACACTGTTAATAGTCGCACTGATCCTGAATTTGTTTTACCCACTCCCATAAATCTAGTGACTTTCCTCACTTATTACATGCCGTGCCCACTCCTGACATCATTTGCCACTATGTTCCTTCCTTCAATTGAAATTATGCAAGACCCTGGTTTTTCCTCCAGTGGCCCCTATACAGACACCATCTTCAATAACCATCATAAATCCTCCCTCCCTTTAATAACCATTATCTACACCCACCCATTCGTGCCAGATTACTACTAGCTAGCACCCTGTTTGCAGGAGGAGGGTCCAATAGGCCTCTTAGTGACCAAATGATTTAACACATGGGATAGCGGCACTTAATGTTATGTAGAAGTGAAGACCCAACACGTCTTCTTTTAGGGATTGTTTAATTTCAATATTGGGAGTACTGAGCCCAATTTTCTAATTTGCTACACTGTCTGAATACGTAAGAACCTCACCATAAATGACTATACAGTGCTTATCCCATCTCTGCACCAAAATATCCCAACATTTAGGGGGGAAAGTCATACTGATTGTATACAATATACAACTTATATGCATTAATCAGCAACAAAGTCATTACTGCTTTTTGTTTGAATCTCATGTAGTTAGTATAACATTCATGTAGGCTTATCATTTTGCTTTTAATATAAATAAAACATATAGCAGTAATCAACCCCAGGAGGGCATGTGCCTAAATGCTGTGCAATCCAAACAATTATTTTAACAAGAAAATTCTTCGCATTTGTTCCCTGTGACTTTTAGGAGGCTTATAGTCTGCTCCATGAAGCTATGATCTCAGACGCTGAATTCAGTGAAATTGGGGCAGACATCCTCAGTATTATGGGCAGCATTTGCTTATCAGATGGTAACGTTGTGAAAGGCTACAAACTGTTAAAGAAGGTAATTATGTTAACTCTCTGTATGTGCATTGTTTATAAATCTTGCAACACAATATGGCAATTCCCCAATGCTTTGCTCAAAATCTAACTGTATGGGGATTTATGCTCTAAATCAGGGATAGTCAACCTTTTAATACCTACCACCCACTTTTGTATCTTTGTTGATGGTAAAATTTCCTTACCACCCACCAATGCAGCAGTAACTAAATTTATGTTGTTTTTTTAGAAAGGAGGTTATTTATTATTTTTTTTAAATATGTACTTAAATTTTTTTCTCTATTTTCTATTCTACTTTTTTTCTATGTGTGTCTGTGAGGTGCTGTGTGTGTGTGAAGGGTGCTGTGTGTGTGTGTGTGAAGGGCATAGTGTGTGTGTGTGGGGGCGCAGTGTGTGAAGAGTGCTGTTTGTGTATCTGAAGGGGGCAGTGTGTGGGTGAATGTCGCTGTGTGTGTGAGAAGGGTGCTGTGTGTGTGAGTGGTGCAGTGTGTGTAAAGGATGCTGTGTGTGTGTGTGTGTGAAGGGTGCAGTGTGTGAGGGGTGTAAGGGGTGTAGTGTGTGAAGGGTGTATAGGGTCTATGCTGTGTGTAGGTAGGAGAGATGTGAAAATCTATCTTAATGTCTCACCCTCCCTTCTTCTTACCTTTTACCAGGGAGGGGGGACATGGTGGTCCAGTGGTGGCATGTTAACTTTAGCCTGCAACTCCTCCGGCTGCAGGCTGTCTCTCCTGTCCTCCTGCAAGCACAGCAATGTATCGGAGCGTTGCCATTATAACAGGCGGCAATGCTAAGACCAGCCTGCTTGTGGAACACAGAGCCTCCCAGGCCCTTCCCTCCCTCTGCTGGAACTAAGTGCTAGCGGGCTGGTGAGGGAGATCTTTGATCTCCCCACCAGCACGAGAGGGCCTTCATCAAGGCTGGCTCTGCATGGGCAGGCTGGGGAGATCAAAGGATCAAGGCCCACCAGGTGTTTTCTGCAGAACCCACCCCCCCACATGAAATCCCAAACCGCCCACTAGAGGGCAGTAAGGGCCAGGTTGACTACCTCTGCTTTAAATTGGGAAATGTGGCTACTTAACAAATGGTGGTTAAAAAGGCAGTGTCAGTGTGGAGATTTTTGTAAAACCAAATAGCTTATAAAAACTTAGCTATAGATTGTTATTTTTTTTTTTTTTATCATGCTATGTTTCTTTATATATTAATTTGCATTCAGTCCTGGGCAGACCAGGTAAAACATGTAAGCTGTGTCAGCATAGTAACCCCTACATTGCCAAAGGCACAGGACATGCACAGGTGTGGCACTGGGGGGAGAAATGTCAAAGGTTCATGCAGACGCAGAATGCGTAGGGTGGTTTCAATGCATAATGGGACGACTCTGTCATCCGGAATGTGGAAGTGAAGTGGACGTAAGTATTTAACTTTTGCGCTTTTTTTTAAATTTAATCCAGCAAATGTTGCAATAGAGTATTCTGGGGTAAAGGGATAAGGAATTTTCACTTCTCTGGAAATTACAGTTCTGCTTTTCTGCTCTTTGCTACTTTCCGCATAAAGAGAGGTTTAAAGCAATACAGGGAAAAGGTATCAGCCACAAGGGTATCGACAAGGGACTCTGTGTCTGAAATCATTATTTGTATGAGCTATAAACTCTTGCATTAATTGGTTGGTGACACTACAGCATTAATACCCACTAACACATGGACATACACTAACGCAAACGTTTTAATTTCATTATCTCTCTCCTTGCCTTACTCAGACAAGAAGAGAGAGAAGCTCCATGCTGTCTCTGGTGTCTAGTGCTGGGGAGGCAAGAAAGTTGTACACCAGCCACCACAGCCTTCTCTCCTTCTCGGCACCAGACATTCAATGTAATGAGATTCCATACAATATTTAAAGGGACACTATAGACCACTTTATCTCAGTGATGTTTTCTGCGTGTCACGCTCCCCCATTTTAACACTGCAAGTGGAAATATTGCCGTTCTGCAGAATGGCAATGTTTACATTTTAAGTTTTGAATGCCTTAAAATAGCTGATTAAAACTTTTCTAATTCTAAACTCAGAGACCGTATGATTGGCTCAGCGTGGTGTGTTGCCATTCATGTGCACTAGTAACCCAAAGCTTTCCTATGGGAAAGAATTGGATTGGCAGAGTACATCAATCTCGATGATCTCAGCCATGGCAATGGAGACTGGCACTGGGAGAGCTAAAAGGTAAGTAAAATACCTACAGGTGGGGGGCAGTAACCTAAACGGCTTCCAATGCACCATAGTTTTAGGAATACACATTTGTATTCCTAATGATATAGTGTTCCTTTATAGTATACCTGACTTTTACAGACACTGTGCTGGGACTTGCCATGTTCCGTGAAATACAACTTCTTCCTATATCCCACAATTTGAGCTTGGCCTTCTGTCTTTGCCAGCATGAGATTGGCACAAATGTTTTTGTTTTGTCTATATACATTCCCTATTCTTTGTTAATGTATCCTAAACATGTGTGGCATTTATCAACCCCATGTGTACAAACATCTACTCCATGTGCTTTCTAACAGTGTCTCGGAATTCAGACTGTAGTGTACGGGACTCAGCACACTAAAAGCCGAGAGACACAAAAAATACTGGATACACTGAAGAAGTAAGTTGACCTTAATAGTCTATATTTACACAGAAAGTTTAGTTATTGAACATGATTTTATATACATATACATACACACACATATATATATATATATATATATATATATATATATATAGTTAAGACATTGCTCAACACAAATACACACACACCCCAGTCAAGCCATAAGACTTGCTTTTTCCCAAAGAAATTCACTTTAACAGTGCTCCCACTACTGCAAAGGATTCTGGGTAGGCGTATGTAAATGAGCTCAACAAAGAACCACATTTTTGCCACATAATTCCACTTTATACATGGATTCCTTGGAGTATGTGTCTGCTGTACACAACAGCTTTGAAACACAACTCAGGAAAAGGAGCAAAGCCAGTGTACCACTCATGGACAGCTGTTTCGTTGTGTATATATAAAATCATATTTAATAGGTAAACATTATATATAGGTAAAATATATTTATCAGAAATGTATAAATGTAAATAAACTAAAAATGCAATTCATATAACCTGTGAGTCTAAGTCAAAGGAGTTGGCAAGTTGAGACAAAATAATGGAACACTCCAAGGACCAACCATACCTACTAGAACACACTGTATTGCCCTGTCAATTCATTCTAGAATGGTTTGACTTTTTAACTGGGGTCTGCTGGGATAATAATAAATACCCACGAGGAACAAAAAAGGATCCTGGAAAATGTCTCCAAAAGAAAATAGGTAGCCTGAACAAGATGTTACATGAATAAATAACGTTTGTTCCATCTTTATGGAAATCCTTGACTATAATATTTAAATCATGAAGATATTAAAGCAACATAGAAATGATGAGAACAGACAAAAGCTTAGAGACTCAACAGCTTGCCGTTTGGTACACCCCCGCTCAGGTCTCAAAATAGTTTTTGCTCACTTGTGCTATTACAGTTAGAACATATCTGAAGCATATCAGACTAGTCCCACCCGTACGGGCAGTCCAGATCTGAAATGCCTGCAAGCTCACTCTGCACAAGAGATACAGCAACCCCAGACAATCGTTTTGGCCTTCTTTTGGGCCTCGTCAGTGAGGTATAGCTGATATCCCTCTAGGCACAGTGAAGATATTTCAACCAGAAGGATAGCACAGAGACAGTAGTTTCCAATCATTGTGGGAGACTGCCAGTAGGTCCTCATGGAAGGCTTTGAGGCTGGTGTGATGCAGCTCTCATGCCATTGGGCAATAGTAACCTAACTGCTTGAAAGTCAGAAAGTAATTATATATATATATATATATATATATATAGCAATTGTTTACATGACCAAAATAAACATGTTTTTTCCCTTCCAGGTCAGGCGGTATCAAAGAATAATGCCAAGGACATTGGAAACGGACTGCAGTGTTGCATTAGCAGGGATAAAAATGTCACATTGCTTTATCCTATAATGTGTGTCTTCACCTCTGTGTCTTTTAAAACCCTTTAGCATTTCTTTTCACCCTCTTTTGTCTTTCATCCCCCTTTAGTAAATCGTATACTGCCTTTGTATGTCTTGCATCCCATTTAGTGTAAATTATAACCCTTTTTGTGTATTTTGTACTCCCCTTGTGTCTCTTTTCCCCACCTTTCCCTTTCACCCTCCCCCCCGAGCCTTTGTGCATCTCTTACTTTCCCCCCCCCAAGCTCCTTTGTGTCACCTGGACATTGCCCCCTAAGAAAGGAAAAGGTCCTGCCACTCCAAGGCTTAGATAGGCATTTTTATTAAAACTAGTGTCCAGCAGCGTTTCGACCCAAAGGTCCAGACATTTTCCTTTCTTTGGTGACTTTTCACTACTTATTGGGCCTTGATGCTGGCCCCAGGTTTGTTTGCACACAGGCTTTTATAAATTGATTGAGTGCAGTTCCATTTTTTGGATTTTAGTAGATTTCACCCTAATGAAGCTGCCTGTACCGCCTTTTGGTCACACTGGTCCTGCCTCCAGGTCACTAAATGTTTCCAGGAATTGTAATGTATCATAAATTATGATGCTATAAGTGAAACAAGGCAAATTGTTCAGCATTTCCATTTAAAGCCAAGATCACAAAATTAAGGTTTAATTTTATACCATACAAATGAAATCAGAAAATGAGAATTGCTGCAAAATCATGAGCTGAAAATTCCATTAGTCCAGCAGTTTATGGGATATTAGTACAAGTATCAAAACAGCCCACACCAAGAATGTCATATAAACTGATGGAGAAGTGTGAAATGGTCCCCTTACCCAAACATGAAGAGGAGAGATGGGATAAATCATGGAAAGGCGATCTTTGATAAAGTGACGCTCCAGGCACCAATACAACTTTAATAAATTTGATTTTGGCCTCATTAATATACTGTATTGTCTGCACAGGAAAAGAGAAAAAATACAATGTTACCTGTGCACACTCTCTAATCCCTGTGCGCATTTAAATAAACTTTTTTTTTTTGTATCACTCCATTGGTCATTAACGTTGCCACAGCAAGGAAAAACATTTTTAGGGGAGTCATTCACTAGCCATTCACCTTGCTCACTTAGCCAAAACATAAAATCTTTAATGCGACAGAAGGGTATTTGTTGCATGCTCAAATTTTTATAGTTTTGCACAAAAATATGTTTTACAGAATACTGCACCATACGCCTGTCTCCTTATTCACTTCCCTCATGCCAGAAAGACTTATGAAAAGTATGCCAACAGCTTCTGCTCCAACAGCACTGAGTGAGCGGCTTTTAATTCACAAATCTGGTTGCAGACAGAGAAACGCCAACAAGGAGTGATATTCTTACTATATGTCCCCCTGGTACTCCTCTCCTTCTACTGCAGGTTGTTTTGTTCAAATAACTCAGAGCAGTCAGTGACCGGCGTCAAAGGTATGCACAAAGCCAGAGTAAGGGGGCGTGCCTAAGGAGACCGGCTTATGGTGCAACAAATTTATTTTATTAAAACAGGTTTCATCTATTATGCATTCATATCCCTGTTCTGATTATCTCTATCCCAGAGAAAAGCATGTGCATCCGCCACCTCACACTGTCAATCAAATGATTTTAATTGAGAACCACTAAATCCAACGATTATGAACAACCCCAGATAAATGCTTAAAGAATGTTCTATAAATTGTTACAAAAATTAAACAATAAGCAGGAACATTCAATTGTCGTGGCAAATATATCCCTAATTGCACCCACATTGATTTGAAAATAGATTATAGGATGCCCAATAAATTGAAGTTATATTTGCATTAAGAGATCAATAATGTGTATTCTGTATATATTTGTTTTAATGTGTTTTTTGTGGTTATTGTATTTGGCATTAAATTGTATAATAGGAAAAAAAAAAAATCTTTTGGTTAGATGATTTGGCCAAAGTGGCACCATAGACTTGGACTGGGTGAATATCGAATAGCTTTCAAAAGCTTAGGGGCTTTGCACTAAAATAAGTTACCTTGGGTAGAATTATGAAGTTCCAGATTATGGAAAAATAAATTATTAACATAGAATTCAAAACTACCATAAACTAAACAAAAAACTATAGCCAGCCCTTAAAGGGTTACACCAAGCACCATGACCACTGAAGTGGTTTGAAAAGGTCATGGTGCCTGGTATCTCTATGTGCAGTATTTCATTATGAAATGCTGCACAAAGTTTAACCCCTCCAGATGTGTAACTCCACCAGAGTTCCAGTTGGCTGATGTGAGTTGTGTATTGAACATCTAGCACCAGCATGCTGGCCACAGGCTTCCAATAGCAGCAGAGCCCCCTCACTCTGTGCCTCCCAAGTCCTCCCCTCTGCCTGCCTACCTGACATTTGTCCCCCTCCAGCTTAGAATTTGCCACTCGTGTCACTTCAGTTTAGTTAATAACCCTTTTAGGTAAACACTCCACTGCCCAAATAAAATTCACTGTTTAGTACATATACACCCTTTAAAAACATGCACTCAATTTTTTTTTTTTTTATTGTGAACATATCTAAAACATCTAGCAAAAGCTGAAGATCCTCTTATCTGCAGCCTTCCAGTCTGCAGTTTCCCTATAAGTAATGAAATAATATCAAACTACCCAAAGATAAATAAATCAGCCTGCTAGGCAAAGCATGGGTGCAGGACTACCTATCCAATCACATTACTCCCATCAATTTAAATGTGAAAGTATAGTAAAAAAAAAAAAAGTGCTGAAACGCTTAATCACAAAACATGCTGAAACCAACAGAGTTATTCACTAAATTTGAGAGTTCAAAGTGAATTTCAAATTAAACGTCAAAATAGCCCAGCTGGAAAAATTCTCTAAATCAACTATGCTTTCAGTTCAGCGTCGACGGACCCGTGCAGAGCTGGAAATAAGGTAAGTTTAAACTCATTTTAAGGGGGTGGGAGGAGGAAACCAACTAAATGGTGGGTTTAACACTATAGGGTCTGGAATAAGTTTGTGTTCGTGACCGTATAGTGTTCCTTTAAACTTTAAAATATACACAATCAGAGGCTTTCTGATAAGAGCAGCCTCCATAATTATAGCCTACATATTATAAAATTAACAAAATTTATTTGAACGACATATTGTTCTTTTACAATGTATTGCCAAGTAACCCAACAACACAGAAGGGATAGAATATGCCCGAAACAACTTCCTGGTCGGGTAGGAGAATATGGATATTTTTAGTGTATACTTGTATTTGAATAAGCTTACCACAAAAAGAACTTACTATGCCAAGCATTGAATGCACTTGTAGCAATAATCATAGGGTTAAGGTAAGAAAAAAAAAAAATAGTTCTGCTTCTTACATATGAAGCATACAGAGAGGTGAGAGTTCTGCATGAGCTTGTCGCAAGACGAGAATTCCTCACATTACCAAATTATGAGTGTATGTATATAAAAATAGTGAAGTGGCTTGTTTTTGTTATTTGGTTTATTTGTATAAAAGACTTTCTAGACTCTGAAACCTGTAAATCACAGGTGGGCAACAGAAGCCTGCAACCCTTAATTGGACCATCAACAAAAGTCTTAGGATGAACAAACAACAAATTGATGGCCATGGCTAATCTGCTTTGTACTAAATAAATCTCTTCCCTCTCCCCACAGTTCAGTGGCGTTTTTTAGCCATTCTTTGGCGTTTGAATTGCTTGTCTTTTCTTTTAATGCTTGGCTTCAGCTGAGGCGGCTGTGTCTCTACCGGCTGTGGCTTTATTTCGGCAGGTGTGTAAAAGACGTCCGCCGTGGGATCAGGCGGCACGATGGATACTTCTTCCTTCTTCTTTAGCTTCTGCAATTCCTTCACTTGCTGCCTCTCTCTCACCTTCGCAGCTGTAGCTAACCGGATAAGGCGCCGATGCTTTAATGGAACAAAATTAACTTATGGTTAAAAAGGTCTTGAGAACCACAAGAGAAAACATAGCCTTAACATACAGGAGAGTTTTTTCATACCTATAACTAAATCTTCAAAAATAAATGTGTAGGTTACATTTCAGTTTAAGATTTTAAGTTTTTTTATTTTAATGCAGCAATTTTTAATGACAAAATACAGTATTCGTTTTTCCTCCGTGAGCGCAACTTTTCTGCACCTCCATCTCAACTTGTAGTGTTTCTCATTTTAGCACCAAAATTCTACTGTAAAGGGTGCTTTCTCTAAGGGTTTGGGGTTTTGTGATTCGGCGGCTAGCATTCTCCAGAAGTTAGCTGCCAAATGAACTATAACTCAAAGAAACAATTGTTGGCCCAATAAAACACGGCTTATTTGATAAGCTCAGCAATGCTAGTGAGCGCTAAATAGGTACTCTAACCCTGATGCAAAGAGTCTTAACACTGTCCAGGAGAGTCCTCTTTTTAGCCGCCTCAATAATGCAAGATGAACATTTTGTCATTATCCCAGATTGAAAGTACTGCCCAAATGGGAGTATGCATGGAGGGGAAAATAGAACAAAGAAGATCATCATAAAGAGGAGAAGGGAGTATGTATTAAAAGGGGGGGCAGTTAAAAATGTATGTGAAGCATGCATAAAGAAGCTATAGGGAACCAAAATCCATAAGAAATACATACTGGAAATGGAAGGTAAAATGGGGTGGGTACATACAGTGAAGCAGAGGAAGAAAAGTGTCATTTGTAAAGGGGAGAAACAGCAAACAATTTACATAACGAGGGAGTGATGGATAAATGGGTAACAGGTATAAAAATATATGCATATAAGCTACAGACAAAGCTGAATATGAGGAGGCTTGGTTAAAAGCAGAACATTAAGAATGGTAGGAGGGGAGGCAGATATTGGAGTTTAAACACATTTAGGAGTTACATCACATACAGTGACCCTAAATCTCCATCCAAAACACAATATAAAATAATAAAAGCCTGGGTTGGTGGTTGATGGAAGGTGTATTAAAATGTTTCATTCAATGTACTTCCTGTTTCTGATCTAAAACCCTGGGGTACACATCTGTCCAGTTTGTGTGTGAATTGTAAAGTGGGCCAGTATGGAGTCGTTTCTGGACAACAGTCAAGTGCATTGTGTTAGAATGCTCTTTTTGGGTGGAACAAATTAAACCAGTGGGACAATTCATGACTGGAACCCACATGTTATTACATCAGTCATGAGGACCTGGAAAAAGTCAAGTCCCCCTGAGCACCCCCAACTCCAGGAATCTCCCAGTAATTTATAGTGTTTGCCGTTTCAGTATACAAAGGAGCAATGCATTACCATGTTAGGAGACTGATAGTGAGGATTCTCAAATAACGTCGGCCCACCAAAGCTTCCTTGAAAAATCTTAATGGGATTTAGGACAAAGCGGGGTCCAATTTCCACTAGAGAGGCATCTTCTTCTATAATCTGAACAAAATGTAGGAAAAAGTTTAATAAAAGTGGTTATGCGGTGCAGGGCTCAAACCTTCCACTCTCCACTAGCAAATGAACTTGAAATTTTAAGACCTGCTTTAACTTTTTATACACACACACACTGCAAGATAACACAATTTTACAAAGCATCTTAAAGTGACAGATATCAATGGAGAAAAATAAATACCAATAAACACTTAGTTTCTATATAATTCCTTATGTCTTTCATTAGGGGAAGGGCGTTAAATGGACAATATAATGTAAAGAGAGTAAAATCATTCCATATTGTTTTGTATGGACAGATAGATATGTATATAAACACCACTTCAGTACACAAAATGTTTTAACGAGAACAACCAGCCCCTAGCCCAATTAGCCGTCAATGCATGTAAAACCATCTGCTTGTTCACGGATACAACCTGGTTTACAAGGTTCAAACAACAACAGAAACGTAAATCTATGCTCCTTTCCTGTGGATAGAGTCCTATGCATTTTGGCATATGAGAAAAACCAAATAGGGACTTTCTCTGACATGTGAAGATATCCCAGTAGTGAAAGTGTTAATTGAGTCTAACAGAGCAGTACAATACAATCCAGCTTAACCCACCTGGTAATTTCTAAACCAGATCCTGTTGTCAACTATGGAGAAGCTGAACACGTGGTCCACAAAAGGCTGGCTTTTTGGATGGTATCTTGGGGTTCCAAAAATCTGTATGAATGAAGAAATATTTAAGAATGAGAAAACCAATAAATGTGTTGAACTAAACTGGCTTTGCTAAACAGCATACTGTCTCTAATTTAACAAAAACACAATAGAGGGTAGCCCGTGACCTGTGTGCATGCAATTCTAAACAGTGAGTTATGACAAGAAATATTTAATATACACAAAGAGGGGAGGAGGGGGGTGAAGATCTATTTTTTGACACATCTGAAATTTCTGCAGAAGTTTGTCAGTTCTGAAATGAACTCAGCCAATCTAAATTCTCTTCAGCAAATTAGTCATCATGTTCAAAGAGATGGGGCTATGAACAACCCATTTGCACAGTTTCCCCCCCCACCCCCTTTTTCTTTACTATTTGTATCATACTACTCACACACTTTAGCTAAATATCACTGTTATGAACAGATGATTGATATTCATTCAGGTAGGTCGCAGTCTGTATACCCATTTCTACTATTAAACAGTTATCAATACATTATTGCACCATGTGAAATACAAATGGTTTAATAAACTAATGCAGGATATATGCAAGCAGTAACAAAAAAAGGATATGATAAGAAAATACCTGTGTAAACAGTTCCTTTAACAAAGAATACTGTGGATGGTGATCAAACGCCTGCAATTAAAACACATTGCATGATTAAATACATATATAGAAACGTGAAAGAGATTTGTCATCTGTGTAGAAACAACCAGTGAAGAACAAAAACAAAAACAAATTTAAGAGAAAGATTTCTATTTTGGAATAGATTTTTAATTCAAACCTGATCGAAGGAGAGAAGAGGACGAGATCCTTTCAGGCAATTTCCGGTCATCTTCAACTCTGCCAGTGTGTGAACTGCAAAAACCACATAGAACAGTTATTGGATGCCTATTGCTTCAGGTTACCCAAGTAGTACAGTGCAACAAGGAACAAAACCAATAAAGGCCAAACGGTGTAGGACGTAGTAGCAGCAGGCATTGCCATATGTTCAGTCTGATATTACTCTGTGCTTCTTCTATAGCTCTGCGCATTCCGACACGGTACGAAAATCCCCACTAGCTTTTAAAAGAATTTTCACTAGTAGCTTTATGTGTGCTTAGACTTCAATACCCCCCACCCTCCCAGCCACATCAAACCCAATATTGACCAGGATAAAAACAATAAACTAAGTTCAACTTACTATTCTGAACTAAGAACTTTACAGATGGTCCTTGAGGAGAATTAGACAGCCTAAAATGAAGAAACAAATGGCGTTACTTTAGTCAAATCGTATTAACATTGCAGACCTTTTTACAAGACCAAAAGATATTACACCCAGAACTGCTCTTGATGCGTAACCCCGGTGGCCAGCACTTTAATGATAAAGATCAAAATTCTGAATGTAGAACAATCACCATGGAAACCAATAGAGCATTGTTGCCGGTTAAGCCACAAGCAGCACTAAGCCCAAATTTGTATACATTTTCCCATGCCCTGTCTACACATCTTACTCACCACATATACAGATCTTGTTTCTTTTTGGCTTCAAAATATATGCATTTGTTGCAGTTTTTCATTTCGCAGACCTGTACAAAAAAATTTAGCCAGTTATTACGCAGAATATGAACCATTAAATTAGTGAACGTTTACAAAGATTGGAATGCAAAAAAAAATTGATTATTTGTCAGGGAATTGTACTGTAAATCAAATCTCTAACTTCAAAACAGACTATTTTTAAAATAACATCTCTACTTTCTTTGTTTGAAGCCAACAATGAATGCTTATGCAGATTGCTTGAAGTTGACAGCTTGCATACAAACAAAGGCTTCCTTACATAAAAAATTTAAATCTACATCTGATTCTTCTACAAACATTTCTAAAAAAATTAAAACAACAGCGTATTGTTTAGGATAACATTATTTGTGCAGAAAGCTTGTATCAACAGTCACCAATGTGCTGCACTGATTATCACAATTAGCATGTAAATGTAGTGTTTGGTACAACGTCCAATCACCAACAGCCCCTCCATCTCTTTTATAATATAGAGCTTTTCACTAAACTTTGTACTGTTGGGTACTTTGTAATTCAAAGTAAATTATATATTTTAAGCCAAAGTGGCCAAATTGAAAACATATACAGCTATTCTGTAAAAAGTGTGATTTTCATGCAAAGGGAAATGATAGGAGTGAACGTCAAGTTTTAGACTACAATAGATGAACTAAAAACACAAAAGAATGTTTCTATCTTCAGCAACAGTGGCCTAAAATTGAAAATCACTGAATTCCTGATAATTCACATTTAAGCGAACAAGCATGTTTATATCATACTTCCCACATTACGATCATATATATATTGGTCATAATTGTGGTTTAAAATGCTGTGTGAAGAGTGTACTGAACAAAGACTTATGTTTTAAACAAAATAAAATATTCTTTACTGGTGTACTGTAATTATTTTAAGTGCAATTATAGTTTGCAGGCGATGCATAGCTGATGAGTTGTGTCCCTCAAAACTAACAAGTATTCTCGGAAACATTAAGAAATAGTTTCTATAAAATTAGTTTAAATATAAAAAGACCAAAGCAGCAAGTTCCACTTACCTCATTTATAACAAACAGTTTATCCTTACGATCCATTTTGGTATCTGTTCATGGGAAAACAAAACATCACATTTACAATTGCATAATAAGTAAACAACAAACATGCATTAAGAGTCCTGGGTGTTCCAACAGGAGTATTCACTAAAGCGAGAATTGTCAGCAATTCAAACTGTAATTCAGATTTCTCCAATTCAGCTTTGCATTCAGATCGGCTATTTTGGACTCACAATTAAATTTCACTTTGAATTCCCAACAATTCTCATTGTGGTGAATAACCCTGAAAGTGGTAAAATGTCTTAAAGGACCACTCTAGGCACCCAGACCACTTCAGTTTAATGAAGTGGTCTGGGTGCCAGGTCCTTCTAGGGTTAACCCATTTTTTTTTTTTTTTTTTAAACATAGCAGTTTCAGAGAAACTGCCAAGTTTATTAATGGGTTAAGCCTTCCCCCAAAGCCTCTAGTGGCTGTCTCATTGACAGCCACTAGAGGCGCTTGCGTGCTTCTCACTGTGATAGCACGCCAGCGTCCATAGGAAAGCATTGTAAATGCTTTCCTATGCGACCGGCTGAATGCGTGCGCAGCTCTTTCCGCGCGTGCGCATTCAGCCGACGGGGCGGAACGGAGGAGGAGAGCAGGAGGAGAGCTCTCCGCCCAGCGCTGGAAAAAGGTAAGTTTAAACCACTTTCCCCCTTCCAGAGCCGGGCGGGAGTGGGACCCTGAGGGTGGGGGCACCCTCAGGGCACTATAGTGCCAGGAAAACGAGTATGTTTTCCTGGCACTATAGTGGTCCTTTAAAGAACGTAGAGCTGAAATAAGAATGTTAAAGTTTAAAAAAAATAAAAATCTTTACATACAAATATTTGTGTTTTAACAAGGGTGTAAAATGATTACAGAAAGTGATGAATTGCAATGACATAATGAGGAGGCTTTATTTTACCTCATTACCTCTACACATAATTTAACCACACGAACATGCATTTAATGTTCACACTATGCCATAAAGCAAGTAAGCATACAAACGATGGAGGATTCAGCCACAGTGTAACTAAGATGCCTATAGCCCATTCGGTGCTGCAGAACGAACATGGGCTCCCCGTGTCACTTCTGTGCCACAGAAAGAGTTAAAAGCAAACCATTCATAGTTAAAGGGCTGCAGAGATGTAACAAAGTCAAATCCTCCTACATCCACAATGCTTCCAGATATTTGAATGGATAATGAAGAAATTAGCTCCCTCATTAGGTAGTCCCAAGAAGTGAGCTTTTGGTTTCAGGAATTTTCTGCTAGTCATTTTTTTTGTCAAACTACTTAAAAAATAAATTGACATTAGATGGAGGGACTTAACCCATAGTACTCAAAACCGTAGCCATTCCTACCTGCTTTAGAATGTGGCATGAGAGTTCTTAGGTCTTGCATGAGATGTCTAGTACGGAAATTGATGCCACGAGAAGAAAAAATTAGCACTCGTTCCTTGTTCTTCCATTTCCCCTAAGAATGAGTAAAAGCATGTTAAAATTACATTCTCTGCCTGAATGTCTATCTAGTAAAAAGAAATCAAGTCTACAGTACATGCACTGAAGAACTATAAATCAAAGTCTTCCAAAACTTCTATTTACAAAACACTATGGGATCCAAGTTTCTTTTTTTTCCTCTAAGAACACTGCGTAAGCTAAAATGGTTTTGTGAGAGTGCCTGGCTTCACCAGCTTGAGTAAAAGACGAGTTATAAAATGCGACGTAGCTGTTTTCATCAATAAGTTTTGTCAATTTAATAAGTGGTACTGTTGATGGCAAAATAAAAATAAAAAGAAGACTTGTACAGCCAGTGAGGAGTGTACGATTCACGGTCTTTTTTAGGGCTTCTTTCAGATGAACTGGTCTAAGGTGGTTTCAAAGAATACAGTTGGGGCCACAAAACAGAAACCTGTGAGTTTTGGTTGGTACTATGAAGTATACCAGCAAGCGATCAATCACAGAACCAAGCAGCGCACTCTTCATTACGTAAATCCTAAATTTTGTAACATGACTAATTAGAACATTCTAGTAACTCTGTTCTGTACATAGAATGTTCTTGTGACTAGTAATAAAGAAGAGAGAGCAACACTTCATTTTACAATAATGTAATGTACACTCATGGAAAATAATGTTTTTTCTATATCTTTTAGAGGGATGGACTAGTCGATCAAAAACATGTAATTCCATGTTGAGGGGACACTGGTTAAACCGAGTCAAACCCTGAAGCGGTCATTAAGCTTGGCTATAAAACGGGGACTTTAGATGCAGAATGAAAATAATCTCTACTGTCAAGGGCCAGAACATTGTCATTGGTCTGTCACTTGAAATGCTAAAAGGCATGTCGTTATTTGGATGTGTGCATTAGTTACACTACCATAAATCCAGGATGCACACAAGGCAATGCTGGATATGCACAACTAAATACCTTCATGGTTAGATCATTGCTCTCAAGATCATAAACGTTTCACACAAGAAAGGGGCTTATGTTTTAGGTTCGCTGGTGTCCAAGATTCTACTCAGGAACTCGAACTCGGGAAAACACGTTCTATCTGTCGCACGCTGACATTATTTATTGTGCAGACACTGCATCTTATAACACAGACTTACAGCATAAAGCACTCCGTGTGATATCGCTGCTCTTGGTAAATTCACAAACCAAATCTCCAAAACAGACCCCTGACCGTGACCTGACTTCTCAGATTAATATTGGCTATATGTATTATCAGAGATAATATGAGAGCATGGGCTACGACCTGGACCCCCCCATCATGGAGACAGTGAGACCAGCCCCCCTCCCTTACTGATAATCCATCCCTGTACCTCAGAGACGGGAGCCGGGACGGTAAACTCGTCAGCCGCCGCCTCCTGCACGCGCTCGGGCTGCTGGAATTTGGCTTTTTTGTTCGTTTTCGCCGACCCGGGAGAGGGGCCACGTTTTCTCCGGTGCGCTGCCATGTTTACTCTGTGCCGGAAGCGGAAGACGGACTCTCCGGGCCGCACGTGGATCTCTATCACAGGATGCGGCTAAACTAGCTAGGTCGGTCAGGCGCCCTCTGGTGGACAGTTAGCGGTACAAGTCCCGGCACAAGTGACAAACTGATCGGATCGCCTTTAACCCCCCTTTAAGGACACATGGCCTGTGTGACATGTCAGTATTCCCTTTTATTCCAGAAGTTTGGTCCTTAAGGGGTTAAACTGGGTTCTTCATGGTGATACTGTTTGGCTTTCCTCACCCACATATATATTTTTTCCAAGATAAATTGTCAAAATACACCAAAATGGTTTGACAAATTACAGTGTGACCGCCACAGGGCAGTGGTTATGCTTCTTGGAGTGTTGCTTTAACTTCATTATCTGACTGTTAGATATATGTTTATATAAAATGTATTATTCTTTCTTTCTGAAAAGGGGTGACTGAAATCTGAAACTTTGTGCCTGCTTATTAAAGGACCACTATAGTGCCAGGAAAATATACTCGTTTTCCTGGCACTATAGTGCCCTGAGGGTCCCCCTCCCACCGGGCTGGATGGAGAGGAAGGGGTTAAATTTACCTCTTTCTCCAGCACCGGGCGGGGAGCTCTCCTCCTCCTGTCCGGCTGAATGCTCATGCGCGGCACGAGTTGCGCGCGCATTCAGCCAGTGTCATAGGAAAGCATTTACAATGCTTTCCTATGGACGCTGGCGTCTTCTCACTGTGATTAGCACGCAAGCGCCTCTAGCAGCTGTCAGTGAACCTCCACTCTAGCCAGTTTAAATTTGAAGGGCAATTTCTAAACTGCAACTGTGCCTTCATTGTTAATGTTTCGGAGACATACTATACATCAAAATGTAGGTCTGGGCCTTGTGATTCTCACAATATAAAGCTCTTCGCTGTAGGATTTATAGTTTTATGACCGTTTGAAGATGGCAACCACCAAAATACTTTGACCTGTGCCAGGCTGGAGCAGCAAGTGATGTCATAGACAGGGCCTTTTGTACACCTGCTAATGTTTTTATAAATGTATGTTTTAATGTAACTGTGAAGCACTTTGGGCAATGACGTTGCAATTAAATGTGCTATATAAATGATAATTACTCCACCCACTCCAGTTGTAGACTACTAGTGGAGGCAAGAACACTTCACACAATTTGTAGCTTGTCTAGTATAGGTTTGTTCATCTCTATATAATAATAGAAGTGGAGGTCACTTCTAGTTTGACATATCCATTTGCTGTAATGGGAACACTGGTTCAACCTTTTCACTGCAAAATGTATGTGCCAGAAGAGCAAGATATTCACTGCACACACTAAGCACCAAAGATCATCTTAGTTTGAATGTTAAACTGAACCGGTCACCATATTTTTACCTTTAATCACACTCACCACCTGCTCAAAGTAGCCATCACAACCATTACACCTCCTTCGTGGGCAGCAACCTCTTCTCCAGCATTGCCTCCTCTCCCGATGATGTTGATGCTTCTTTGCCAGCATATCAGCTCATTGAACAGTGTAAAACCAAAGAAAAAGTTGCTTATCCCAAATCCCTATGAATGTTTAAAACTAAACACTAAAAAGTTACCTTGCTGATTTTAGCTAAAAAGCAAAATCTCTCAGAGAGAGGTTTTTATCTAAACCCCATAACAATTATTAATGGGACACTACAGACACCCAGACCACTTTGTCTTATTGAAGTTGCCTGGGTGCAATGTCCCTCTCACCTTAACCCTGCAATGTTAAGTATTGCAGTTTCTGAGATACTACAATAATTATATGGCAGGGTTACGAATGCCTTTAGTGGCTGTGGCTGTCAACCATAGAAGCCACTAAAGACACTTCTTGCTTGTTAGGCGACTTCTGGACACCCTCACGCTCTGCATGAGGACATCCAGTGTTGGTAAAATCCATATGGGAAAGCATTGCAGCAATGCTTTCCTATGGGGAGGACATAATGCGCTTGTAGCGCTCGCCGCGCATATGCCCCCTTCTGGGTGATGGAGTCAGAGCACTGAGGGAGATCGGCGCTGGAATCGGATAAGTACAGTAAGAGTTTCTTAACCCTTAGAGTGTGGCACGAGGGGGAGCTCAGTGGTCTTACGTGTTCCCAACTTGCCCCGTTAAAGTCTATAATGAATGTGGCGGTGAAGCCCATCTTCCTTTTCGCCTGCACCTCCCACCTTTGTCAGTCCCTACATTGGCTTCCCGTAAGATCTAGGACTCAATTTAAGATCCTGATACTTGCTTAGAAATCTCTACACAATGCTGCTCTGACCTACTTATACTCACTAACACACAAATATGTCCCATCTAGGCCCCTATGCTCTGCCGGAGAACTACATTTAACCTCTGTTCGTACACCTACCTCTGATGCTCACCTTAAAGACTTTTCTAAGGCTGCACCGTTCCTATGGAACGCCCTTCCTCTTTCTGTTGGACTTTCACCCAATCTCCGCTCCTACAAAAAAATCTCTGAAAACTTACTTCATTAGGAAAGCATATCCATTAAACAGTGGACAGCTTTCCCTCCCTGCACCCCGATTCCACAACTGTCATCAAAACAAAACACTAAGCCCTCAATGAACACTATCCTAGCAACCTACTTTTCTACCCTACCCTTAGCTTTTGTGTCACATTACCCCACTCACCCTAGCATGTAAGCTCATTGAGCAGGGCCCTCATTCCCTCTGTTCTTGTGTGTCCAACTCGTCTCGTTACAAATACGTGTCTGTTAGTCCACCCATTGTACAGCGCTACATAAATAATAATAGTACAACGAATATAACTTTGTATTCCCAGCACTATAGTAGCAATGTAACGTGGCTGCGTAATACGAAAGCAAATACAAAATTAAGCCCTGCGTGCGCCCACCCTGTAGGTGTGTTCTCTTGCTAACAGACAGCGGCCAGCAATTTCACTAGCACAATGTATACATAGTTTGAGGAGAGATATCAAATGAGATACAGTGAAATGAACCATGATAGGCACCCTTTAAATTGGAATAGTGCACAACACAATATTACTTGTTCCATGCTCTTAACTTTTTGGCATACAATGGGGTATATTTTTTTTAACTTAACACTTAGGTGGTAGTGTTCTGTAAACATTACAACAATTTCTTATTTGAATAATAAAAAAACAACTAAATTTACAGATAAAGTGTTGTATGTTTAAAAACAAAACACAACACAATCACAGTATGGATATTGTATGTACATATAATTATTCTTACAGTACATAACTAGGCATACCTTGTTTTAAATGTTTATTGGTTTCATAACATATTCCAATGCAAACGTGTTATTGTTAAAGCGGGTTAGTGCCTGCGCAGAGGCCTGGTTATCACTGCGTGAATGGATATACTAGTTGTTGCCTGCGCAGAGGCTCGTCAGTTGTTTTACAACATTTAATATATCATATCATATTTGAGTGTGCTTTTTGTTATCTTTCTTGCCATGACATTGTTCACTCGTTAGGTTGAAAGTATCTGATTGTGAGTGATCAGTATAGTTGTTGCGTTTAACCAGTGTCGGCCTAATGCATTGCACAGACTCAACCCGTTGTGGTTTGATTAATGGCTATTTACTAACATATAGCTGTTATGCTTGTACGAACAGAGTAGGCGAGTGTATGCTGCTTTTAACCAACCACGAGCTGAGTGTGAGCGTGTCTGTATATATCCTACTGTGCCGCAGTTGGTCATTATGTATGCAAAATCTGTGGTACCTAGGGGCATTATAACATAAACCATGTATTCCTGTAGCGTGTTAAGCTAGCAAAGTAGAGCAAAAAACTATATGCACGTTATGTAAACTCAAATACCTCTTAAACGCGTGCTACTGTAATCTTGTACGGCAGAAGTGTTACACTGGTTAGGCATCGTCTGGCAATGACATATCCTATAATGTACTGTAACATGGCATGTACCTGTGTTTTTATGCGGGAGCAACAACGTACAGCGCATTTATATTCTTAGGTTGCGGTTGCCTGTTGTATAGCGTTTTAAACTAACATAATAATGAAGAACCAGCATTGGGTGATCAAAAATGGGTAGAAACTTAGTATACATAAACAGATTAAAATAGAAAAGAATTGTGAACGATTTGTCGTCCTGCATGACTCCTAGTTTTATGTTATCTTACAGACGGGTTGCAGAACTATGCAATGGTAACGTGAACAAATTACTGGCGCTTTTCGATCTCCCATATCTGTCAAGCGTATTTCCAATGCTCAGCGCGGCCCTTGCATGTATGCATAGTCTGCTGGTGGCTAAGCAGTCTAACAAAGATCTATATAGATTAGAAGAGAACATTTATGAGTGTGGAGATTTGAGTATTATTCCCTGCATTCAGGAAGGACCTGCAGATTTATATTGATCTCTTGCATATTTATGTTAACCCCTTAGGAAGTAAATGCAAACTTAGAATTAAAAAAAAAATATGAGCTATACATCGACAAGGTGGCCCTGTCAATCCTCTGAGCCATCTGGGGGAGTCTCTCATGACACTGCTACCACACTGTCCCTGGGGCGCCAGGCCTCCTTCCCTCACCCACATGCCGATCTCCGCTCACCGATCGGGCCCTCCACCAGTTCCGTAGGCACTCAGGAGCACAAACTGTCCATTGGACCTCACCACAAAAGTCCTCCGGTCGTCCGCTCCCTGCACCTCCCCAGCTCCATGTGGGCTTCCTGAGGTGTGTGTTCCTACATCTCTCCTGGTGCCGGCTGCATACTTGAAGCAAGTGTCCACCCCCCACGACCACTGGTCCGTCGGGGGGGTGGCACAGTCCTGCCCCACCAGGCTTGCAGCTCCAGGGACTGGGCTCTCCGGGGACCCCTCAGACCCAGAGGCCCGGGAACCCACCTCTCCAGCGGTCGAGGTCACAGCACGGTGGATCCTGCCAGGGCCCGTGCGGGCTACTCATGACATTCCCCCTTGGTGCTTTTTTTCAGGATTGGGGCGTCCCCCCATAGGAGTTCTCCTTTCTCTCCTTGTCTGTGTCAGCATCCATTAGCTCACTGTTAATCAGTATCGCTCTTTACAGCTGGCTGGCCATCTCCTTC